GGCGACCGCCATCAACAAACTATGCAGGGTGCAAAGAGAGTGATGATTCATCACCCAGGTTGTTCACTTCGAGTTGTATATTACTTGTGATAAATAACGTGACGTCATGCCACCGACTTCGTGGAAAAAGGTGAGTCAGCGGATGCCGTTGTTAATTTTAACAAGCTGACAAAGTTTGTTTACTCCAAGTGACCCAAAATACCCAATACTATTCTACACCTCTCGTAGCAGTTCATACTTGGGCTGGTACAACGTCGTTGAGTTTACGTATACATTTCCAAACTTTGCGCCGTCAATATCACACAATAACTTCACTGTGAGCAATCGATCAGTAATCGTGAAACCTTGTAGGTATTCGGTATTGTTTTCGAAAAACAAATCGTTTCTGCTTTTCCTTGGATTCACTTTATACGACGACGGTAACAAAAATACTTATTAGATGAAAATCCAGAGCTGTCGTTGGAGATGACATGATGCAGGTCTTACTGAAAACTTGTCGTACAACAGTGCGAATATTTGATATGTATCGTCATCCGACATGCGATGAATCCATCCAAAAAACTGAATATCCATCTTATACACATTTCATTGAGGCCTACAACTGCAATGATATAGTGGAGTTCAGCATCAATCGAGTTTACTCGTTGCTATGAATGCCTTCTAATTGACCATTCAAGGAAAGCTAGAAATAACCGGTAAGGAAGACGTATTTGTCTGATACCGAAAGTCAACTTTATTTTCCACTAACACCGAGAGTGACCACAAAGTTGTGGGTAACACCATGGGAAAAAATAAAGTTGAATTCCATACGTATAACAGACCTGATGAGAAAATACGCCTTCGGAGCCCCCAGCAGAAGACATAGCGGATGACCTCTATGACAAACATTTGCTGGCCGTGTAAACCATATGTAAACTACAATCAGATGGCAGGCCCCTTCACATTATTTTTACTGACAGTAATATTACGTTGAACTATTTGAAACGTAACATTACGTCATTACTGTATACGAAATACTCCTGGGAGCTGCGCAAAAACAGCAGGAAGATTGTGCAATGCTATGCATGCTAAATATGGGGCCATGCCACTTCTAACTGTTACCGGGAGTTACGCTGCTTGAAATGCGCTGAACGCACTACACATTGGAATGTCCTTTGCCAAGAAGTGAAGTTTCCAAATGTGTCAACTGTTCCAGCCCCCACCTGGCGAACAGAATGAAGTGCCCTATCCACATAATAAAGCTAGATGAACTCGCCTGAAAAATGTTTGTACCGGCTCCAATACCACTTCATAATAAATGGAAGGGAGAAAGGCGACAACAACCCAACCACCAGCAACATCCCAGACACCAGGACCTGCCTACAAAAACGTCTACAGGACGCGCTCTCTTGACCCCGCTGAAAGGATGCGGAAAGAAATAAATGTCATGCTTGCCTTCGACAAGGTGAGCACACTCATTAACATGAATGAAATGCTCAGGTCGTTAAATGATTTGTGAAAACTTTGTCGCTATAAGCTGTAAACGCCTATGAAGGCATGTATGCTGACTCATGGCATCAACTTTGAGGAGGTGGGAGATGCTATATAACGTCTACCACTACACAAGGCACCTTGCAGCGATGGCATTGAAGCAGTTCTACTCCGGAACCTGCCGCGCGAAGGTCTCGTACAGATGATTCAAATCATCAAGTGGGTCATCAAATTGCAACATTAACCAGACTGCCTGAAGCGCGCGGAGGTAATACCTATTGATAAATCGGAAAAACCGAAAAACCATAGGGGGAGTTGCCGGCCGATCTCGTTGCTTAGCGCTGTCACCAAGATTGTTGACAAAATCTTACTAAGCAGACTTCTTCGTCTGAAGAAAAGGCTGAAACTTATTCCAGAGGAACAGTTTGAATTCAGGCAGGGTCGTAACACGACCTCGCAACTGATCCGACTGATTCACGGAATAAAGGAGGCCTTTCACCAGAGGAAGAATACAAGGATGGTCCATACATTAAGCCATGTTACATATATTAAGCCTTTGACACCGTTTGGACAGAGGAATTCATCGCAAGAATGTAAGATTCTCATCTAGTCGATCGGAAATTTAGGGCTAGAGTTCACTAAGCTATGTCTACAGACTTCTCAACGAAAGCAGGTGTTCAACAGGGGTCCTATCTATCCCCGCACCTATATTATTTCTGTACGTACAATTTTCTCATGTTCGCGAATACAAATGTAGGCATATATGCAGACGATACTGCCTTACATGCCCATCCGTATTTAAATAAGGTGGAAACTAATTTTCGACTTCTGAGGGTTGTCGTTCGTAGGGGTGCGATAGCTGGTTAACGGAAAAAACATATTTCAAACATATATTTTTAAACATATTAGTACTTGAATGGTTCATTTATTTTTCATTCCTGATAGAAAAATTCGTGTTTTATGGAAACGATGATAATTGATATTATATCAAGTTGTTTCATAAGTTTTGTCTGTATTCAATTTAATCTAAATGAGCGCCATTTGAATCACTTTTGCCAACGTGACACGAGTCAATCAGCATAAAAATTGTGTTCTCGGGATTCGATGAAATTGACGAAGGCCTTTTTGTCTGCTCCTGATTGCTGAGAGGTCTGGGGAGCATGGTGGGTGAGGCAGAACTTTGACGCTCATTTCGTTTGATTTTCTGATGATGATTCGTGAAATATGCAGACAGGCGTTGTCGCGGAGCAGGATCGGACCTCTTCTGTTGACCAGTGCCGGTTGCTGCTGACATAATTTTCGATACATTTCGTCGATTTCCTCACTCTGCTGTGATGGTTTGACCCGTTTGCAGCAAGTTTGAGTGAATCACACCAACCGTTAATCACCATAAGGTAACTATGGTCTTTTTTGGTGGCTGGGTGGCTCATCAGTGTCCAACCAACCTTAACGTCTCCTGTTCTCGTAGATGATTCACTTTTCATCATACGCGACGATCCGATTAAAAAAAATTGTTTTGATTACTTCGAAACGTTACAATTTCTGTCGATTGTTCAAGTCGTGGGGCTCCCACTTTTCAAGCTCTTTCATCTTTCCAATACGTTTGTTTCAAACTATCAAAAACCACATGGGAGCTAACGCCCAGTTCTTTCTCCACCGTTATTGATGGGTCAGTCTCCACCAGGGTCCTCACCACCACCAGTGTGGGACGACCACTTCGGGGCTCATCTTCGAGGCTAAAATCTCCGGAACGAAACCATCGTCGAACAATGCATTCATTAACACTATCATTGTACAAGTGTCGGGGGAGGTTAAATATCTGGGAGTAATCCTAGATTCCAAACTGACCTGGAACCAACACTTGGACAGGATGAAGAGGAAAGCGGAGGTAGCACTGATGCTCGCCAGACGTACCTATGGAAAAACATGGGGGCTAAAACCAGACATGGTATATTGGCTATACACGATGGTGGTTAAACCCATGATAACATATGCATCTCTGGTTTGGTGGCCAAAGATGAAGCAGGCGACCGCCATCAACAAACTATGCAGGGTGCAAAGTGCAACAGCTGCATTGGAGACACTCCTGAAGCTACCTCCTTTACACTTTGTGATAATGGGGGAGGCCAGGATGGGCCAATTCAGTGTGGAGAAGCACATATTGAATATGTGTACGGACCACATGACACCGAAGTACACCTTTAACACAAACTTCACGGCCAAAAGCATAAGCCGTGAAGAGTGGAAGACCATTAGTCATCCCGAAAACATGTTTGGAAAAAACACCTGGTATAAAGATGGATCGAAGACCAAACATGAAACGGGAGCTGGAATATACCGAGCGGATAGAAATCTAAACTACAGCTATCCGCTAGGACTATACACATCCGTCTTTCAGGCGGAAGTGTATGCTATCTTGCAGTGTGCAAGGCTTATTGAATTGAGACCTCAAAGAAATGAGTGGATCAATATTTTTACAGACAGCAAGAGCGCACTAGGGACTCTGACAAACCCGAAGGTGACATGAAAACTGGTCTGGAAATGCCATGAAGAACTGAATGAATTTGCAAACAGGAACAAATTGACTTTGTACTGGGTGCCACGGCATTCAGGATTCACAGGTAAAGTAGATAAAGCTGATGAATGCGCTAGACGCGGATCATCAACTTCATATATAGGTCCTGAACCAGCTCTGGGGGTATCAAAATCATTGGTACGAAAACAGATTAGGACATGGACCATTAAGAAGCATACAGAGTACTGGACAAAAGTACCTGGCAACAAACACAGTAAAATCTTCATTAGGGAATCGTCCGAGAAAAGAACCGAAAAACTACTTCAATATAGTAGGAATCGGCTCAGAATAATTACAGGGTTACTAACCGGACATTGTCCGCTTAGAGGACACCTGAATAAAATGGGGCTGTACAACGGGGACCTCATCTGCAGATTATGCAACGAAGGGACAGAAACAGCTCTACACATCTTATGCGAATGTGAGACACTGAATCACAGGAGGCAGGCAATATATGAATCCAACACGGAACCTGTACAAACGAGTACAGGAAACGAGACTGATGGAATGGGTGTCATGAGAAGATGGGAGAATAAACGCAATAAGCCCAAGAGACTGCAGTGTTTTCTGAAGACTTGGACTGAATGGAAAAGTCAGACAGCTCCCAAGGTACAAAAAAAACACTATCATTGCCAAATGCCTGGTTAATTTTTTGCTGTTTTGCGCTTTGGGTCAGTATGAACTCGTAGAGAAAAATTGGCCTAAATTCGTTGAACTACAACATATGCTTGTAGTAATAAACTGGAAATAGTCAAATAATTGAAATTTGGAAAAAATAAAGAGCAGCAATGTATAGAGTACAGCATTCTCTGTCACCATTACCAGCATTATATACACAGTTGAATAAATATCCATTGGAATGAGGACCTAAAAAACACATGATATTAAGACGGACAAAACTTTTGAAACAATCTCATAGAAACGAATGACGTTAGTAACTACTGTCCATACTTACAGCCCTGAAAATGAATATGAATGTAGCGTTCATGCATGCTCCGGTAACGGCCGCGATAACTCTTGTATTTTCTATGATGATTTCATCTTTACTACTTCGAATTAACATCATATCGACGCTTATTCTGTAAATCATAACACCAAGAACGCCTAGTATAACCAGAAACAACTGAAATCAAAAAGATACGGTTGGGTCGACGAAAAATATGAATTCATCATCAATTTATGCATCCGATCAACTCGTAAATCCATAAACTGGCGCAAAGTAATAAAAATGAAACGATGTGGCTACTGATCCGAACAATTTATATTTTTAATGAACAACTTTTTATTTTTTGGGAAAGAAAGGTTTCAACCAACTATTTTTATTTGAACATTGAATGATACAAGTTTTTCCAATTCAGTTGGTACTCCCAACATTCGTTATGGAATTGAATCAGAAATCATTCACAGGATTGCTAAACAATTAGGTACCTATATGAAAAAGATAAATGGTTCACTTACATGGAACACTGTCATTTTCAATGGCGTACATCAATGTTTCGGAATCAGACACTCGTCTTATTGCCTTCTCAGCACTAATCTGGATAACATTATAAGTTGAAGCACTCAAATCACTCATAACATTACAACAAAAAATTATGGCAAACTTCCAAAGAAAGTAAGAAAATAAATGAGTTCAAAATAAACTCTTAAATAATTATGTGTAGGTCATGAATTGGAGGTACTTTTAGATACAAACTGGAAGAAAAAAACCCCCTCGAAACAACTCCTTACATATAAACATTTAGTTACACGAAAAAGATCTCGATAATTCTCAGTTCTGACTTTTAAGGGTAATTGTTCATGGGGAGACGATAGCTAGTTAACGGAATAAACACATGAACAGAATTATACGCCAGTCGACTCTGACAATCCGTCGTGAATGGTTGTAGTGTCCGCTAATAAATTCTACAAGTGATAAAACTAAAAAAATGTGTAAAAAGTGTAGTAAGATCTTGATTTCAATTTATATCGGTGAGACTTTTTTCCTAACTGTTTTTTTCAGAGGGGTATGCCGAATATTATTGGCATATATTCCTGATACTACCATGAACTCCACTAACATACCGAGTGTTTCTGACTACAGGGACACTCAAAGTAATCAATCAAATGTTCAATCCAACTCATACTCTACTGCAGTCCAAAACTTTAAATTTCCATCCAGAGAGCAAGCCATACTCTTCAATTCTGTCGAAGGAGTTAAAATACAGGAGTACATCATCGCCATCGGAACCAAAGTTCAGCTTGAAAACATAATTTTCAGTCTTGCAGTTGTAGATACTTTCCTTCAACAAGGTGGAGAAATAGTGGTGAACCAACAACTACTGAAAGCACGGAGGTTAATAACATCCATAACTCATTTAATCCTATCAAATGCATGCCCGTCAATTCCCCACATCATAATTGAAAATAGCCTTAAAGACTTAGGTTTGAGCCTTATGTCCTCTATAACCTTTCTCAGAATCGGGATTTCGCAACCAGAGTTCAGCCATATTCTTAGTTTCCGGAGGCAAGTCTACGTTCAAACCGATACTTCTACCTTCCCAGAATCAATTGTTATTCTTTTCGAAAACACTCCATACCGTATCTTTCTATCCGAAGACAAGCTAACCTGCTTCAAATGTAAAAAAGATGGTCATGTAGCCGCCGCTTGCACGGAAACAGTTAATGATATCCCTACCACGGTTAGTCCCAAAAACCAATTGGAAAATGAACGTGTTGTCATTCCAACACAAATCACCAACCCAACACAAAAACGTTCAGAATCAGAGGTAACAAGCCCCACGTTATCAAACACCGACTCCTATCCACCCTAAACAGCCCGTGTTTATTAAGCCGTTTTCGCATAAGAAACCGAAAAAAACCTCATCAAACGCTACAGCTGCACACCTTTCTTCAGCGAAAAGGATATTTGACGATGAATCACCACCCTTTTCTTCAGACTTCAATCAAATAGTCAGTTTTTTGGAAAATACGTATGGGTCATCCGATCCTCTCAGTTTAGCACGTGAATATACTGACAACGTGCATTCTCTCATGGATATATTAACAAAAATATACCCAGCTCTGACTGAACGAAGTATTAAGGCTCGTATCACAAAATAGAAGAGAAAGTTGATGAAACAACTGAATAATGAACTCGAAACAAACTCAAATATTTCCCTTTCTGAGAACGAAAGCGACCTCTCACAAGAAACCTATTGAAGTTTATGACCCC